GAAATTAACTGTCAAGATAAAAATTTCTGTTTGAACACTGCAACCACAAAGTTTGGTGTGGACAGGAGCTGCTGCAAACACAGCAATATGCAGCACTCCCCTCTAATGCTGCACTGTGTCTTGCAAAGCTTTGGGAATTTGGTTCATTTCAGAATGGAAAGAACAGCTTATGTAGCTTTGCATTATTAAAACCTGCCATAACATAAAGCTTAGCAGTTGATGTTATAGTAACTGAACAGCTGCCAAAAAGAGATTTAAACTGGCAACTGAATTGGATTATATTCAATATTGCAACTGGGCTTTTTAAATTTGCTGTCTAAGTCATCCAGCTGTTAGAAGAACTAAAACCTATGAGTCTGAACTACTACTCAAAAATATTGCAACATTTACGGTCTGCAATGTTTATAGAGATCATATAGCAGATTTATAAATACTAAGAAACACAGCAAGCTGATAAATGATTTTAAATACTTACACAAAATAAATTATCAAAACTTCATTTTGCTGGTATTGAGACTGGATCTTGCACTAGGAAAAAAGGACTTTGATTTCAAATACTATTGAAAACAAAGTGAGGAATTACCTATCTTCAAGCAGAAAAACCAGCCACCAGCAACTGCTCTCAATCACCACGACAAGACACTGCTCAGATTCAGGAAAAAGTATCCCAGCCACTTACACTTTCTGCATACAGAATACTGCAGGGCTTGAGCAAACAAATAATCTGCAGACCCTGACTGAGATAAAAGGGTCCCTTGTCTGGCTTTGCACAGATACACAACATGAAATCAAGGAAAGGCTGCCTACCCATAGCCAGAACCTTCAAGAGATGTCATTGGTATGAGAACTCACATTGCAGGCACACACTGCACTCTCATTTGAGATTGAATTTATTTTCTTTTGAAGCATCCTCCACTGAGCAAGCAAGCAGACATGGAACAAGAAGATATGAAGTCTTTGTAACTAAGAAGAGTCAATTAACTTGTGCAACCTAACCATTATCACCCTTCCTTCCCATTCCTCATTTTAATCTAAAATCACATTATGGGTGAATTGAGGAATTATTTCTTCCCAACCCAGAAGATCTGCAAGCCCTTTGTGCAAACTGACACTCAAATTGCTCTACCAACTGCTACATAAACTTTTAATACCTAAGTACTGCACATCATCCATGACAGTATGGAAGAAGCAACACCTTAGAGTAGAGCTACTTCCCCAATGCTGACAACAAAACTGCATCAGCTCTCAGAACATAACCCAGTCAGTTCAGGAGAATAGGATATGATAACTGAACCCTCCAGAGTAATGTTAAAGAAGTTAGAGTTCTGGTAACAAGGTGATCTTTTCAGCTAATACTATGAACAGTTGTTAGATCTGTTATGGATCTGTAAAAAAGCCAAAGCATCTGGAAGTTTGTTCTGAAGACCAACTAGCATCTCAGAAAGAGAAGAAAATTTGGACAGGAAAAAAAAAACTGCTTAAATTCATATCAAGTAATTCATGAGTCAACAACACAATCACAAAAAAAAAAAAAATCTCCTCTGTTCTTGCAGTTATTTAACCCCCAGTCCTTCACTCTGGAAGTCATGACCTTTTGGATGCAGCAGTTACTGCGACAAGAGGAGCTGTGTGAACACAGAGGGAACCCACAAACGAATATTTTCTATCTGCTTCTATGCATTCTCAAGGCTGCAGCCACAAACTTCTGCTGCAGCCCAGAATATTCCAACAGCCTCACAAATGGATAGAAAGAGTTAAGCATCAGCTACTGTGACAATTCTACCATCACAGAGGCGGCAATGCAAGACCTCTGCTTCAAGAGATCTTGGGAAGCCCATTCATCTTCCAAAGAACAGGGCTGATGTTGAAACAACCTGTCATAGTATTGCTTCAGGAAGGTTTGGTTCCAGAAACTCCTAAAACAGAGTGTGTCTGCCCCTTAAGCTCATGATAACTGAGGCTCCCAAGCACCAGCCTGGGTTAGCTACAGCACCAGCTGGTGCAGGGTAGCTCAAGAAGTATAGGAAAGAGCCAAAATGCTGAGATGAAAAGATCGGTCACATCCAATTTGTGACAAATGCTGGCATCAAGTGATTTTGAAGCTGCTTGTGTTGAGAAGTATGACAAGAAAAAAAGAAAAGCACAGTTGAAGCAGCTAAGATCTGCCTTGATTAGCTGTTTGTGGCCTAAGAATCTGAGGGAAGCCACTGGGACATCCACTGTGCAGGTGCTGGAGATGACACTTCCAGAGTTACGAGCAGTGGAGGAGCTGAAATAGTTCCAGCGTCCAGAAAGAGCTGATAGGACACACAAACAGAGGTGATGGTGTCAGCAATGAGGTGTGAACTTAGTTCATCTGGCAAGGCTGTGCAAGATTCTGAAAGCAACATTCACCCAAACACTTTAATCCAACAGGAAATGATGACTTTTCTAGGCAAAAAAAAAAAAAAATAATCTGGACACCTTTCCAGAAAGTATGTTAAAATCAAGCCACTATTACTGCACAGCTCTTGCAGGCTCAGCCATTTGGTGCTGGTGAGCCAACATTCAGGCAAGTCTGAAGGTGAGAGGCCAGCTGCAGAACCCAGTCCTGACTAAACAGGGAGCAAACAAACCCCTGGTGCCAGGGTACTTCCAAAAAAGTCCTTGGAGAGCCCATGCTGTAGAAGCCAGAAGCACCAGCAGATCATGGTGTACAAACCATTTCAAGTCTCTTATTCCACTTTTCTGTCCCACTCCTCTTTTAAGGAGCTGCTGACAGATAACTCTGCTCTGTCTTGAGCACACCAGTGTCTGCAGGTGAGCTGCACCTACCCGGTTTGCCTTGTAATAAAGACATCCTGTACCTCCACAGTTTCCAGCTGGTGTTCAGAACCACCATTTGTTAGTTCCTATTATGAATTGTATTAATCTCCCATGCCCAAAGAATCACACTAAGATAGTAAAGCAGGCTCCTTTTCTCTTTAGTATCTACCCCATTATGATTCTAATACTAGTCTAGTAAAAAATTGAACCAGTTCAAAATCAGGCACTGTGACAACCCCTCAGTTTAAGAACAAAACTCAAGTCCTAGACTGATGAAAGAAATAAAACCTGAAGGTCTTTACCGCCCTAGAAAAACAGGAAAGCAAATATTTCCTTACAAGCTGCTGCCTAATCATTTTGCTATGGTCCTCATAAACAAGTGATATTTTATACTTTTATGAACTCTTATCCCATTATTCTTTCATGGCAAGCACTCAAAATTAACTGTAGCAAAACAGTCACTCTATTAAAGAACAGAGCTTTTTTTCCAACTTGCAATACATTGTGTTCTATTTCAAGCCCAGTTTTCCATCTATAACTTAGTCCTAGTTGTAGCAGAACAAAATTCCAGCTTTTATGACAGAAGACTTTTTTTGATCAATAGAAGTCAGCAGCAAAAGCATTTGTGGTTTTTCTCTGGAAAGCATTTGTGGCCACAGACTCAAAGAAGGAAGAAAGGGAGGGGGATTAACTCTTCAGTGAAGGTCAAAAACATAATTTAAAAGTGATCCAAGAAGAGCAGCTGTGTCTGTCAGCACAATCAGGATTACCAGCTGGAGAATTTACCAGCAGTATGAAAACAATGCACACCAGATGTCAAATGTTGCAACTGTGAGTAGGAAAGCAACTCTGGGCATGGCACTGTCATGTTAATACTCACGGCCAGACAGATTTCATATTTAGCATTTATTTATTAATTAGACACTACTAGGAAGAAACAATAACATTTTGAGCTTCATAGTGCAAGTCAGAGGAGGTGTGCACACTGGAAACATTCAACATCCTTTATTCTCAGTTATTCTTTCACTGCAAACACAAGACAACAATTTTAAAACTAACTAGCAAACACTAGAACATCTGCACCTGAACTTGCTTTAGTTCCACTCAGTTCAATCTGAGCTTTTAACTTCAGTTTGGACTTTTTTTCAACTAAATCTGAAGCAAATATTAAGAAGAAAAGTAAAACCACACTCTCATCCATATATAGCTATCTGGGAAGAATTGTACCTAAGTTACTCAAAAGTGAAGCAAATACTTCACTTACACCTCTACCAGCACTTCCTTCATCAGCTGCTTGTTATCTTCCTTGTCTTTCTGGGGCATTCTTGTCTTTTTTTTCCTGCCCATTTTACATCCTGAAGATGATCTCATCCATTCCAGTGCTTTAAACAGAGTGTTTTACCAGTTTTGTTGGGTAAAATACCTGATGTTGATTTTCTTCTTTATATATGCATATTCTTATATATATCTCTATGTATATTCTTGTATTACCTTGGTCACACCCCCTTTGCATGAATGTCTACAGAAACCATTGCAGTCTCTGCTTGTAGCTTCTCCCATGTTCATTCCCATTCTCCAAATACTCTCCTTTTTCTCCCTTGCATGCTCTTTTCCTAAGAATGGATGGCTCATCCACTTGATTAATCCCTACTCCTTATCATGATATGACAATTTTCCAGTTTTTACTGTTAAATTCAAATTTAATGTAATATTTGTATCATTAAAAATCAATTATAAGGCCCCAAAAAACTTGAAAATATGGATGGTAATACTGGAATTATTTATCACAGAGGGTATTCTAGGAACTTGTTTGAAGTTTGTTTTATATCTTCCTTGATGGTGCAATTGCTTTATCCAAAGGAAGACAGGGCCTCAGAAAAATATGGTACCAGCATAACTGAATCAAGATGAATAAAGTTATTTAAGTACAAATACTGTCAGCAGAGGGAATGGGCATGTGTTTGTGGCACCTTGGCCTGACATGGAACATATGTTAGTATAGGGTTGCTAACTGCTGCAATTAAAAAAAGAAATTAGAAATGCCTAATCAATTGACACATTTAACTGCTTATGCAACCATTACTTCTGTTCTCTTAGAGAAAGAAATTTCTTATATATTTCATTATCATTAATTCAAATTCTCCTTAGCTTCTGCAATCATCCTACTGTATTACAGCCTATTCCTCATGGCTTACCTTAGCTTTGCCATCCTGTGCAGACATGTATCCAACACACATGCTCTCTGTTGTATGGCTCCACAGAAATTCCACTAGAAATGAAAATGCAAGAAGTTACAAAAAGGCCTTGGTTTAAAATACAAGATGCAATTTAACAAGACAGTGTCTTGAGCAACAAGTATAGCAAGGATAAAAAACAAAGACCAAAAACTACTTACCAGAGCAATTAAATTTCAAAAGAAACAGCTACCAAACAAACAATATTTCTTTGAATATTCACAGTCACAACTGCAGAACTACTACCCACAATGAGAATGCTACTTAAATGATATGGAGCATCCAAGATGAGAAATACTATAACTCCAACTGCAGTTAAAAATTGGAAAAGCTTCTAAAGCAGTGGACTTTTCCACCCATCAGAAAAAGCTGACAGAACTTGTATTTGCCTGCCTTGAACCCAGACAAAAGCATAAAGCCAGGTGACCTAGTATCAACAGGTAAAGGGGGATTTGTGGCTCAGCTGTTAGCCTGTATCCCAAGGCAAACATGCAGAAATAGTCAAGTTTGCAATATGGGAACTGAAGATACGGATCAGTCAGGAAAGACAACTGGTAAAAGCAAAATTATCCTGCAGAAAAAGGAGGAGAGATGTATGATGGAAACAGGGTAACATGCACAATAAGAAAGATTGCCGGCAAAATTAGACGAAGTATGCTGAATTACAAGAGCAGATGCAAACACCCCCTTTTTTGTGGAGAGTGTTAGGAGCACTAAAGGTGAGAGAGGAAAGAAAGGTGAAGAAGAAACCCCTAGGAAAACTCTCCCAGGTCGGATTACCTGGACTTCCAGCACCAGATAAACAACAGCAGCTCTCTGGTACTGCACTCACAGCTAATTTAGGACATCAGGGTTAGATATCCTAAAGCACTGGAATGCTTGCAGGGATAATGATTAAGAAAACTAACCAGTGCTCACAAGTTTTATTAATGCCTGTTAAACCAGTAAGGAGCTGTCCTGAAGTCTGAAAGTGTTCTGATTTATCAGCTGTTTAACAGCCTGTTCCAGTAATCTCTAATTGCCTGATACATATGCAGGTATCTTGATGTACACAAACACACTCCTACTCAGCTGCAACACAAAATTCAGACAAAGAGCACATGATTCAAATGTTCAGTCCTCTCTTAGTGGAGCTTTATAAACTGCCACACTGTTTTCTTCCTGCTCTCTGTCATGGTCATTTTACTTTATATTCATAAAATCCATAATTTGGAGGGGGGGGTGGAGGGAAGAAAAAAAATAGCTGATCAGAATTTAAGGCATTTCACAGAATTTTGTAAAAGGCTTTAAAAAACACACTGAGGCACAAATTTTTTCACTGGATGGGAGGTGCCTTACATGAATTACACAAGATGCTTTGAACAGACATTTCCACAGATTTCTTTTGAGAGTGACTTTCACATATGGCAAAAAAAGCATCCCTGAATGGGTTTAAAACCTTTACTCGTTCCTATTCCTCACATTCCTTTAGGATGAAGGTCACAGCCTGCTGAGCACACTTATCCTTTGAACCACATCTCCTTGCATAGCAATCAAACCAGAGCAGGAGATCAAATGTTAGATGATCCCAGCAAGACTTGAAGATTCTGACAGATATGCAGATATCATCATAAAAGAAAAATGAACTTCATGGAGGTGTGTGCTCTGCTCCCCCAGAACAGATTTGTGACTGATAGCACCAAAGGTGAATCAAAAGCTTTCACAGAGTGAAATAATCAATGTGTGTTGGAGGGGCCCAACCTCCCCATGGCACCCTAAAGGCTCCACTGCCAGTGAAAGCATTTTTTTTAAAGACAAATTCAAAATTTGTATTTAAATTTTTAAAATCTAAATTTAATTTAATTTAAATTTAATTCCCATCTTTCAATTCTGAGAAGCTGAGAAACAGTTCAGATAAAATACCCTCAAAATACTGTATCTTTGCCTTTGAAAAGTACCAAAAGTAGCCTGTACTAGCACAAACCTTAGCTATTGTTAGCCATTATAGGTAGTGAACTACACAGAAAATTCTAAATTACATGTGAAATATCTTCAGATAAGTATATTTTCAACCATTTAATAAGTCACTTCCTTGCCATTTGTTTCAATATTAAAAATAAATAAAGATGATCCATGTAACAAAGACATTAGAGTTCCTTTTCCATACACAAAGTTTTTCAGTATTAATCAACTTATTTTCAGTCAAAACAAAATAAATACTACATATGTTATGTAATGTAATACAATTGTGTATTATCTCTGCATTCATTATAAGGTAGGAAATTTCCATGGTACAGAAAAAACACTGTAGTAATTAATCTCTGTTAGTTCAGTGGAAAGAAAACCAAAAATCAATGGACAAACAGTCTTTACTTATGATGTACAACATATGGGGATTATATAAATTAATTTTTGAGGAAAAAGTGCCAAATCTTCATTAATAAAATATGTTCTCTTACATGAATGAGAACCATTACATGAATAGAAAAAATTCTCTCACTTCCAAATCTCAGGAATTGAAGGTTACGTTGATCTTGTTTGTTCTCACTTAATCAGACTTGTATTTTCATTTTCTTAACTCTTTTTTTAAGGATAAAATTTATGTTGCAGGATGCTGTTGCACTAGATAATGTCACAAATGGGTAAATAATAATAAAGCAAAGTATTATACAAAGGAAAAACACTTTAACTCTGGTAACATCAGACAGGTCAATGTGACCCAACAAATGCACACATAGCTGCACATCTGAGGAGGACCACAGGAAAGGAGATGGCACAAGGGTCATCCTGAAGTAATTCACATGCCCCCAGTCCCAAATTCCTTCCCTTAGAGAGACCTTACTGTCTCAGGGTTGTATTTCCACCCTGTTCTGCTCATATCTACAGCCTTCAGTTCCCATCTGTTCCTCCCACACAAACCACAGGACAGTTTTCCATAATACACTTTTCTGCCATAAAGCAGCAAGAGAGAGATGGTGTTTCCAGGACAGAAAGAGGGATGAAGGGTTGTAAAACCTTTTTGGAACCAGTCAGCTACTGGGAGAGGCAAAGTCCAGGTGATTTCAGTATGAGCAGCAGAAAGTTCTGTTTGGTGCAAATGCAAATAGTAACTGTGATTTATTTAAACTGATTTTCCTGGCAATTACCAAGAATAAAGAACTTTCCTTACAAATTTCCAATGCATTCTCCAAATTCACACATTTTCTTATGCAAAAAGGAGGAATAAAGAACTTTTTAGAAAGCATTTTTTAAAATTAGGCTACTGAGAAGCAGCAAACAGCTACATACATTACTCCCAGCTATAAATGCAATTTTTCCTATGAGGAACAGATCCCACCTCACCACAAGCAACTGTTGTATCTCTGCCATAGGTTTAGAAGGATCCCACACAATCCTCTGAATGGCAATTCTGCTTAGAAATGATGAGTCAGAAAGAATGCTCTTTTCTGGAGTTTTGTTAGTATTAGCCTTGTTTGTTCCCTATTTCACTTTCTAGATCTTTATTATTTCAATGTCAATTCCATTTTGTTTACTCTGTGGCTTTCAAACACACACAGAGATTCCACTTCACCCTTCATTTTAAATTAAAATGAGTAAGAATTCCTTACCTAGTAAAGTTGGCTTTTCCTGTGAGGATTCAGGCTCTGCTGAACACCGGCAGGAGCGGAGAACGATCACACCTCCGAGCACACCATCCTCATTGGCTAGGAAAGGTGAACCTGGCCAAAATCATGGGGGAGAATTACTTGCAATAGAAACAATTTCTTGGGCAATTTTTTTTAAAATTTGACTTTCTGCCTTTTCCCTTTAATCTTGTCACTAAGGGTTGAAAATGACAGATCAAACCGTGCTTTTACAAAAGCATTGGTTCTCTTTTTCCTACTGTTTCAAAGGAATAATTTTCTGGAATGTTCATCTACTAATTCACCAGCAATCAAAAAAATGAAGAGCTACATGGAATAAAACAAAAACATTAAAAATTACCTTTGTGAATGCAAACCTCAAATGTAATTCGGATGGACCAAGGAAAACATAATAATGAAAAACGGAGTGTCAAGTTGAAAAAAATTGTGACTCAATATTTAGCTCTTTCTGTTCTATAGATTATATAAAGACAGATGTAAAAAAATCAAGCAATTTTAGGTCATTTTTACAGTTTATTCATTTTTGCCAACTTAAAGCCCTTTGTACAGAGGCATCATGGAACTGCTATGCTGTCTGCCTTGCTGTCCTTTTTACAGTGTCTCCTGTGTTGTTAATTTAAGACATAGGATACAAAAGTATTCTATCAGAAACTGGAAAAGCTTTAAAGGTAGCTGAACCAAGCCAAAGTATTTTTCCTCTGGTTTGCAATTTGAAATAAGATTCCTATTGCTTTAAATGTGGAAACAATGGTGTAATTTACATGCAATATAAAATGTCTTGAGCCACAAAATTAATCAAGTTCTTGCACTTAGGCCCACAGACATGTTAGTTACATATCTGCATTATACTGTCTTTTAAAACTGAACATACAATTGCAACAGCCATATAATGTAATTCTTTTCAATTCTTTCTTTTAAGTAAATTAGTGTACAGGCACTGTAATTTGCCAGCCACTAGAACTTTAGAGCAGATCTATTCATTAGCCTCCTTTAACTTGCACACAACTATTTGTATGATTAAAATTATTCCTTTAATGCAAATAACAACAAAACTGCCCAATAAAAAACAATTTTGAGCATTACCACAAGGAAAACTAAAAGCTTTATTGTGTTTTCTCTAAACTTTAGAGCAGCCACCTTGAAAAATGATACAAGGTGGCCATTGCAATAGAAGCCCACAATGCAGGAAGATAATAAATGCAGTGTGCTTAATAAACAATAATATCTTAGTTAATCTAATGCAAACAGATTATTATCTTTAAAGTGCCACTTGCTTTGTAAAAGAATTATTACTACTTACACCTAGTAATACACCCCCTGTATTACTGACTGTGACCAAGTCCCTGTGAAACAAGAATTCAGCCCATGATAAGGCAGAAGACAAAACAGGAAAATACGTTTGGTTAAAATAGAAATGTCCGGTTTTCGGCTGTTTGAAGGGCCTGGAAAGGCCCAGAGTGGCCTTGGGGCAGCCCGCGTTTCAAAGGACGAGACGAGGCTTCAGTTCTTCTTTCGGTTTTTATGTTTATTAATTGTTTATCTAAAAGATTTTCTTTCGGCCGACAGAGGTCTGCTCAGCAGTCAGCCATGAGCACACGTGTCCGCCCTCCGGACAGCCACCTATCTTTATACCCATGGTTACGTGTACAATATTTATCATTTTTCCCCAATACCATTTATTCTTATTGCCCGGTGCACTTTTAGTAATAACCAATCCAAAAGTGCCACCATCACCACAGAAGATGGAGGAGAAGAAGAAGAAGAAGAAGGACAGGACACACCCCAATTCCTCCATCTTACTTCTCTAAACCCCCCTGTACAGAAATCCTAAACCCTGTGTCTCACTCTCTAATTAACTAATCCCTTCACCAATCACCCTGGTGAAGTCCTCCTATCCTCATACAGGTGTCGTCTCCTGTGTAGGATCAAAGTCCAGCCACCAGACACTTCTGGCAACATTCCAGGACTCCCGAGCCCCCCAAGGGTGGTCTCGGTGGCTCAGCATCTCAGGACTGAGATGCTGAGATCCCACATAGAAACACAAGGTTTGGAAAGTTGTGAAGGATTTTACAACTCAAGTCAAAATCAGGCACTTCAAAGACAATGCCTCTACCTGGTCAGCAGACCTAATTTTACACTAAACTGCACAAATGATTTAGGCTCTTAAGCCATGGTGAAAAGTCCAAGCTCTCTAAGCTGTGGCGAAAAGTCATTGCAAAGAGACAGAAAAGCTCAGATTTCTTTTTATTAAGTAGTTTCTCCTTCCCTTTCAAGAGCTGTGAAAGATTCTTTCACGGTTCTAAGGAAAAATATTATTTCTTTAATTAGAATGGCTAAAAATGTTCTACTTCATCAGAAGACAGCCAGCAAACAGCATATTCAAGGGCACAGTAAAACACTGGGACTGTATGAGAGCACATAATACCAGACAGCAACTACTGATTATAGTTTATAGAGTTGGTTCCACTGAAGTCTTGTTCTAGAAATGCTTCCATTAGTTTAATCACTTATTTTAGGGATTTTGTTTCTCCCACACTCTGAAAAAAGTAGATGAAAGGGCAGTCTGTAAATAAGCTAATTATATATTTCATCATTTTCCCAGTAATTTTGTTAAATGTGCCATCATGACTGACCAAACTGTCAGCAATCTGAGTAACTTCTACATGGTCTTCTGAAATTTCACAAGGCTTAGCAGTGTATTTTTTTCATTGCAGAGACTCTGCAGCAGAACAGCAACACTGCATTTCCATCAAAAAACTTCCATTTTTACAGAGGTTTCTTTGCAAGAACAAAATATTCATCTTCAGTGAAACAAAGAATAAAAAACCGAATCACTCAAAGCAAGTGCTTTTTTGAAAAAGGGTTTAAATAAGTAATTTAAAATTTGAGCTTCAAGCACATAAGACAAAGTCTTCAGCTTACAACTTGAGCCAAAAACATGCTCAACCTCTACATGAACAACTGAGAGCCCCAATTCTGTCAGGATAAACAGCATTTATTTATTGACATTAAATACGGTGTCCATTACACTGCCCTAAGTATGTACACAATTGTTTTCTAAACAAATTACTTCCTTCAATGATTATGCACCATGGAAGCTTTATTACCAGCCCACAAAACTCAAAGGCTTTGAAGACCACTCAGAAGTTGGAAAACTGACTGTATTCATTCAGCCTTTGCTGAAGTACACTGCCACCCTACTGCAACTGGAAAACTCCAGAAGAGGATTAACTTAACAGCAGTGCACCTGATAAAAGTGTGATAAAAGTCTTAATTTCAGCACCCACAAAACACAATAGGTGGGCAAGACATTTGACTTCTTTAAGAATAACACAGGTTGGGCCTTTGGACTAAGAAGAAATATTGGTTATGGCACATAAACCAGGTCACACTGCACTAACTTTGCAACAGTACTACCGGTGTGAGATGAATAAAATTACTTAAAGTGACTTTTAGCAGATAATATGAACGAAGTATTGAACTAAATGTCTTAAAAAAATTGTGTTATGCAAACAACACAAGGATGATGGGAGACATTATCTCTCCTACACACAAAAACCAAGCCTTGCTTGTCTTTTTGATGTTCTACACCATTTCATCATCACCTGCAGAATGAGCATGATTCTGGAATGGTGGCAGAAATCTGGAAAAGAACATCCCCCTTGTTTCCATCTCCAAACACAAGCAGCAAATGAGGACACAGTCACTTGCACTACTACCCTGCAAAGATTCAAGGCTTTTCCACCCATGGCCACCCTGCCTCCCTGTTTCTGTTCAAGGCCTCCATTCCCAGACACATCAGAAGCAAATTGAGTGACTCCACCCTCTCCCATCCCAGATGTCTTCAGCAGCAAGTTCAGCTAAATCATCTCAGTGCAAAATCAGCAACAATACAGTTTATGTCTGCAATTCACTGCCTAAGTTGTGGAGAACCACTCTCTAAGAAGTGTCAAAAACGAGTTGCCTACAATAATATTACAATATTCTATGTTTACAGTACATTCAGGCTGCTCCTCTGCTCTTAAAAATCAGACCCTAAATCAAATTAAACACGTGCTGAAAAGCATATTGTTTGAAAGTTACTTATTTTCCAATTAAAGCAATTTTTAAAAAATGTTAAAAGAGGGATTCAAATATAATACTTTTTTAAACAAGGATCTTTCTAGATATGTGGACCTACTGATGATGATTATAATTATGCTAAAGAGTGTATTTTAACAAACTAGACAGTGCAAATGAGTAGGTCTACAGCAAGCAAAACTCCAGACAGCTGAATGCCATGCATCCATCACTGGATCTGTAAAAATAATGGTACAAAAGCATTATACTTTTTTTGATACAGTATTACACTTTATTTCTAAAAAGAATCCATGTACCATACACACAAGTTAATTTGACTGTTCTCAAAACACTGTGAATTCAAAGGTTAGGAACATATTTCATTAATTTAGTTCTAAAACTCATTTTGTTAAAGCTAACCCATCGACAAAAAGAATAACAGAGCAGACTTTTGTAAAAAAAACAATATACCTAATGAGTTTTTTATATACACATTTAATTAGTATTTCAAGAGGAGGAGAAAAAGTGGAACTAAAATACTGCCATGTATATTAAAGGCAGAATGGTTTCACATGAGAAAGAAAGAGTGATCTTGCTCCCATCTCCTACACAATTTTTGGAATTCAGCCATGCCCACATTTCCTTATTTGGATTTAGCCTGCCCAAATTTCCTTATTTAGGTATACCCCACCTACATTTCCTTATGTGGATTTAGCCATGCCCACATTTCCTTATTTGAAATTCAGCCACACCCACACTTCCTTATTTGGGCATGGCCCACCCACATGTCCTTACTTGTTATTCAGCCACACCCACATTTACTTATTTGGAATTCAGCCACACCCACATATCCTTATTTGGTCAGATCTGCCTACATTTCTTGTTTCGATTTAGCCATGCCCACATTTCCTTATTTGGGCATAGCCCCACCCACGTGTCCTTATTTGGTATTCATCCACACCCACATTTCCTTATTTGGAACTTAGCCACTCTGTACTTTTCAGAAAAATAGGTTT